TCCTCTTTCAGCCCCAGCTTGGGGGCTTCATCAACTCACTGTAACTTACAAGTCTGTTTCCACCTTTATTTTCCTCGCCACTTCATTTTCACTCGCAGTGGTCTGTCTTCTCCTACCTTTTGCTCTCTGGGTCCTGGTTTGCCTGTGTGGCCAGCCTGAGTTTGTGAACAGAAGGAAATGATAGGAAGCCTTTCTATAGCTCCCTAATGGAAGTTGTCTTTGCCAGTGATTGTGTCACATCACCTATTTCTTTTATACCATATACAATCTGTAATTATATTACTGTATTTGTTAGAAAGCAAATGTTTTGAATCTGAAGGTGAGCTTCATGAATAGTCTTGTTTATTGCTCTGTGCTCATTTCCAATAGGATACTCCACATATAATAATGAGTCAACGTATTTGAATCAGTGCATAAAATATCAAAAAGGGACTAGAGAGTGTAAGAATTTTGCCCTAGATAAGATATTATGGCAGTGGGAGGCGGGACCAAGGGATGTTTACCTTGAGGTCACTTTCCCCGCCCGATTGCCCCCCACACCACGTTTCTGGCAGAGAAAGCAAGGCCCCCAGTGGTCATGGAGTTTCACTCCACGTTCTTAGAATAAAGGCCATTTTTACTTTATATTCTCTCATTTACCACAATGAAAATCCCATCAGAGAGTAGACTGCTGCATTTGAGTCACAGCTCTTTTAGCAGAGGGTGCCTTTGGGCAGTAAATCTCTTGTTTTCTTTCTTTGTTTTTTTTATTGTGTGTGTGTGTGTACAGGGGATTGAATTTATGACTCCCATTTCACAGGCAGGCACTTATGCTGTTGAGCTAAATCCCCAGCCCATTCATTTATCTTTTTAAAGCAAAGCCATACATAGTGCCTACCTCAGTGTTTTGGCAAAGACTAAAGGTACAAATGTGATGTGTTTTACATGCAAGGAAACAATACTATTGTATATTTCTTATTGTATATAAGGCACACACTTTTTGTAGTATGACCTGCCTTGACACGTGTCCATTCTCACTAGATGCACTGTAGTTTGTGTGGGACTTGTCTTCAGTATTTTTATAGCAGTGTTGAGGGTGGAGGCTGTGGTTTACTCATATTTTTTAAGTACATTGTGCACAGTGGGCCCTCAGTTCTTTCAGTGAAAGAAAAGAAGGAGATCAATGAGTTTGCCATGCAAAAGAGAAATTCTGTATTAAGAAATACAGCATTTAGGGCCGGGGATTTAGCTTAGTGGCATAAATGCCTGCGTGGCACACATGAGGTCATGAGTTCAATCCCCAGTACTCCCCTAAAAAAGAAGGGAAAAAAAATACAGCATACAATCTGGAGTACCAAAAAAATCATATATACAAAGTGGGTATATAGCTCAGTGACGGAGCATATGCTTTGTATGTACCAAGTTCTAGGTTCAACCGTAGCATTAAAAGGTAAAATTCATGGTGTGTAGGTCATCAATAAATTGTAATCAGTTCCTCTTTAGATGTCCCTTTGTGTGCAGTGGGGATGTCAGGTCTTGCAGCAGTGGCCTTGTGGATTGATGTTGGGGTAGGCAAGCATTCTGCCCCTGACTTTAGTTTATATAAATGGAAATTACACTTTAGGGATTTTAAGACAGGCTCTCACTATGTAGTTCAGTCTGGCCGAGAACTCAAGGTAGTCCTCCTGCCTCAGCCTCCAGAGCACTGGTATTACAGATGTGCATTACCACACTTGATTTAAACTTTAGTGTTTATAAATGAAATTAGTAGCCCGGGAGCTAAAGCACCATCTGTCTGTCTGTCTGAATATACTGGGGATTGTACCCAGTGTCTCCACTGTTGAGCTACATTGCCAGCTTTTTTTTTTTTTTTAATTTTGAGACAATATGGACAGGGTGTCATGAAATTGCCCATGCTGGCCTTTAATGTTTTGCCCTCCTGTCTCTCCCCCAGAGTAGCTGATAGTAGGTCATGCCTTCACACCCACTGAGCTAACTAAAGGTTTTGTATGTTTTGTTTCTTTGACATATGTTCTCACTACCATTTGTTGTTCAGACTGGCTTTGAACTCTGTGTAGCCCAGAATAGTCTTAAATTTGAGGCAATCCTTTTGCCTCAGCCTTCTATTTTTTTTTTTTTTAAACATTGCAAATCACACTCAGGGCCTGTGTTTACCAGGCAGGCAAATGTGCCACTGAGCTATATCCCCAGCCCATCCCTCAGCTTAGGAGTGCTGGGATTTGTCTTTTTGAGACACAGTCTCTCTGTGCAGTTCAGGCTGGCCTTGAGCTCACTTTGTAGCCTAGACTGGTCTCGAACTCGCAAAGATCCTCCTGCCTCAGCCTCCCGAGTGCTGGGATTACAGGGGTAAGCCACCATGCCCAGTTTAGGAATGCTAGGATTACAGGCTTGCATTTGGCTCTGAATGGCTTTTCTTTTGAGGGAGATGATGATAAATATCACAGTATTTTTTTCTGTGTAGTTTCAGAAAAATCTGAGGTGGTACGAGGCTGCCCCTTTGTCTATATGATCCGAAAGGATATGGATATTTATTCTAAAATTTTAAGGAAACTCTTCAATGAATCACATGGAATCTTTGTGGGCCTTCAGAGAATTGAAGAAGAATTGACTGGAAAATCCAAAAAGGCTCAGTAAGTTGGCTAGTTTGTTTGTTTGTTTATTTATTTATGGTACTGGGAATGGCTCTCAAGATTTGTGCCACTGAGCTAAATTCCCAGGTCCTTTATCAGTTTATATTTTTAGTTTACTTACCCTTTCAAGAGGGCAAGTCAGCACGAGAGTCAGTGAATATGGTCCAATTAGGAGATTTGAAAATTAATATTAAGATGAATTTTAAAAGCTATGGCTGGATGTGGTGCCACATGTCTGTCATCCCAGCAGTCTGCCTTCTAGAAGAAATGTTTTTCTTGCAGTGGAAAGCTATGTCTCATCTGGCTGTGATGGTATAAACCTGTACTACAAACACTCTCCTGTAATCCCAGGATTTGGGAGGCTGAGGCAAGAGGATAGAGAGGTTCCCCCCTTCCCTCCCCTGCCCAGTTTTTTTGAGACAGTCTCACTGTGCAGTTCAGGCTGGCCTTGAGCTCACTTTGTAGCCCCGGCTGGTTTGAACTCACAGTGATCATTTTGACTCAGCCTCCCTGAGTTTTGGGATCCAAGGTGTGTGCCACCACACCCGGTTTAAACATAGAAAGTTTAAGGCCAGCATAGACAATGTAGCGAGACTCTGCCTCAGCAAAACACCAAAGGCAAAACTGAAAAAGCTTAGTAATTGAAAAATGATTGTTTTGTTTTCTTGTTAATTTGCTTCATTTTGAGGCTGGGGATTTAGCTCAGTGGTACAGCACCTCTTTGGAAAGAGTGAGGCTCTGAATTTAATACCAGCTACCAAACAAACCCCTTTGCTTCATTCTTTCATTTCCCTGGTTTGGTTTTGTTTTAGTATGGAGGGCCAAGTTGCACCAGGGCCATCAACCTGAGGTTCGTCTGTAGCCTTTTTTTTGGTACCAGGAATTGAACTGATAACCTTGCACTTTCCAGGCAGGCACTTATACCAGTGAGCTAGATTCCTGTCCCTAAGAATGCAGATCCAGCCCTTCTGTTTATTTTTTATGTTGAGACAGTGTGGGAAGCCCTGTAATTGGCTGCCGCCTTATATCTACAGGCAGCAGCCACCTTAACCTCCTCTAGGAGTTAACTTTCCGTTTGGTAGTTAAGCTTCTCTCCTTGCCTAGCCTGTTTGGCCCATTGGGGATTATGCTAATCAGCCTGCCTTAGGAACCCAAGCAGGGGAGATTTGAATTACCCCATAACCCCTGGTCTTGTCACTGTTTATAGGTCACCTGCTGATGTCTCAGACCCCAACTCCCTCTTCCCCCAATACCCTATGTGTTCCTTACTCTTTCTTTGAATCAACGAGACTTGATCAGAATCCTGTCTTGTCTCCATTCCTGTCTCTTGTCTCTTCTCATCCCCCTCCCCCGCTAGCATCTACCTTAACTCACCCGCAGACAGGGTCTCACTAAATTGTTCAAGCTGGGCTCCAATTTGTGATTGATCTACTTGCCTCAGCTTCGCAGAGTGCTGGGAATACAGGCCTGTACCACCATGTCTGGCTTGAACTAGTTGTGTTTCATATTTATTTATTTAATTTACTTATTTTGTCCAGGTTTCCAGAAAAGTTAAAAAAATGGTTTCTGTTTTATTACTCAGTTTCCCTAATCTTAATCTCTTACACAATTGTATTATGTGGTTATTAAAACTAGGAAACAAAGATTGACACTGATCCCGTTTGGTCAACTGAAGGCAATTTCAGTTTTACCAGTTTTCCCTCCTGAGGTTGCCTTTTCCCTAACTCAGTCTTTTTCATGATCTTCCTACTTTGGAGGAATAGCGATCAATTGTCTCATAGAACATGTCTCTGTTTGTGATTGTCAGAGGTGTTCTCATACTTGGACATGCCATGTATTAGTGAGGATAGCACCAAAGTGGTAATGTGTTCTTATGCTGTTTTATTACTGATGACCTTGACCTCAATCATTTGATCTATGTCATTTCTTTGCTGTAAAGTTACCTCTATCTTTCTTTGTCACTAATAAGTGCCTTAGGGAAGGAACTTTGAGCTAATGTACATCCCATTTCTTCTTAAATGTTAGCCATTCATTTTAGTGATTATCAATAAATCTCATCTATAGCAGCCTGAGATTCTGGATCATTGTTTTTTTTTTATCAGTACCAGGGATCAAACTCGTGACTGCTTGCTTGCAAGGCAGGCGCTTATGCCATGGAGCTAAATCCCCAGCCCCCCGGATACTTATTTTAGAGCATGAATTATAGCATATTTATTGTGTCGTTCAGGTTTTTCCATCTTTGGATTATGTCAGACTTCAGGTTGAGCTGCCCTTCCTTCAGCAAGTTCTCACCTTTATTGAGCTCTCTCTTACTCTCTGGAACCACAGGATGCTCCAGATTTAACCTGAATGTGTAATCATTTTTCATAGATTGGTTCAGGGAGTAAGAACTACCGATCTGTGATAAGAGCACGTATGGAGGAGATGCACCAGATGGCAAGTAAGTGTGGTATGTGCATGCGTGGGGCTGTGTGCTCAGGGGCCAAAGTAAGATTCTTTGGAAAGTCCGTTACTGGTTCTTTGATGCTGGTGATTAAAAATCAATATAATCATGAGAGCCACATGATTGCCTGTTCCTGACAGACTTTGTATAACAAGGTGATGTGTTTTATCAGAGGCCGCATTTCAGCTGAAAGTGGTAGATGTAACTTATGGGGTTGGCTTGTGAATCACTGATCTACAACAAAGAGATTGGCATTAAAGAATTTTGTTTTATTTGGTTCTGGGGATTGAACTCATGACCTCGAGCTTGCCAGTCAGGTGCTTATGCCACTGAACTAAATCCCTGCCTGAGATAGGCATTAAAAAAAATCATCTAGAATCCAGATATAGTGATCCATAGTCTCAGCACCTGGGAGGTTGAGGCAGGAGGATTGCCATGAGGTAAAACTGGGCTACATAGTAAGTTCATGGTCAACTTGAACTATGCAGTTGTTGGGAGCCGTGGCACTGTCAAGTCATCAGACGCGGTGATTGCGAGGCCTGTAGGAAAGTACAAAAGCCTGAGCTAGATTACCCCTCTCATCGAGCCCGCCTGTGTGGCGCCTGTTTCCTGCTTCCTGATCCCTATCACCCCACTAAGTTCCCGCCTCGCAGGGTAGTCTGCCTAGCTACTAATGTTGCTAGCCAATCAGCTTACGCGACCCGCCTTGATTTGATTGGAGGCCACAATCCTATATATAGCCAGTACCTCCACCCCTGGGGGAGAGAAGCACGGAAGGAGCCGCGGAGAGCGGACCAACAGAGGCTTCGGCCAGGACGAGTCCCGGGGTAGACTGTGAAGGAGGAGAGAAATAAAATAGAATATTTCGCCACCGCCAGATTTTGTCGTGTGTTCTTCCTGCCGGCCGGGAGCGACACCGACAGCTGGTGGCCCGTACGGGGAATGATCAACCCCGAGATTCGGCGGTGGACTGCATTCTCCTACACAGAGCTACAGGACAGGTGAGTAGGGGATAAGCCTGGGCCCTGGGTGGCGCGCACCTACAGGGTTTGTAGACTCCTCTCAATCTCACGCATAAGTGGTGGGTTTCTTGGGCCTCACGCGGTGAGTATAAAACATAACACCAGAACTTAAGGTAATAAAAGAGTGTAAAACATAAACATAGAAGTAAAAATAACAGAAGATATATTAAAAATGGGAAACATGCCAAGTAAAGATACACAGCCTTGGTGTTGGTCCTTCGGAGACTCCTAAAGTCCAAGGACCTCAAGGTGGGGCGTAAGACTCTAGAAAATTTCCTTGCAGAAATTGACAGCTTTGCTCCCTGGTTTCTGCCTACAGGGCATGTAAACCTACCCTCCTGGGAAAAGTTGGGCAGAGACCTTTCCCTAGCAGAACGGGAGGGTAGAGCTTCGGTCTCTGCTCGTCCGTTGTGGGAAATGATACACGCGTGCCTAAAGAGTGAGGGTAGTTACGGGGGGAGCTCTCAAGAACTTGTAGAAGTACGCAAGGTGTTTAAACAGACACAGTCAGGAAGCTCCCGAGAAGGGTCCGTCAAGGAGGGCAGAGATACAAAAGAGGAAGCTGAGGCGCGGTTTGTGTCTTTCCGCAGGGACCGGGACGAGAACCACTGTGGGTCCCAGAGAGGTTGACAAGTCCCTCGACTGAAGATCAGGCCTGTTCCACCAGAGGCCAACCGCAGACCCAACAACAAGATGAGCCCTAAAAGAACTGCAGGACAATCCCTTTTTGGGGGCCTGGAACGGCTTGCTCCCCTATGTGCTACCCTTGTATACGCATGGCTCGCTCGCATGGCCTACGACCGCGTTTAAAAGTGACAGGCTTCCCACATTCTCCTCCCTAGACAACAACATGTAGCAGGGTGGGTGAGTCAATGACGGGTAAGAGCGTGCCTCCCCAGCACGACTCAACCTAAGCCAGGCCCTACCCCATACTGCACGAAAGCCGCTGGATTACTAGAATCTGCCCAGATCTAGATGTCTCTCTGAGGGGATCGCACGGAGGGGCAGGAGTGCATGCCTATGTGCATCCAGGTTCCGTCCAGTTCACTCCTGGCCCTGAAAAAAGGACGAGGGTCTCAAGGCCTTGGCGGACCCAGGGACGGCTGACCAGGGTCCAAGCCAAGGGCCTACAGTGGGCCTCAACACAGGGCATAGGCCTCTGCACTCTATCCAGGACGGGCTGCGATGCGCGTATTCATTTAAAATAAAATAGGGGGAGATGTTGGGAGCCGTGGCACTGTCAAGTCATCAGACGCGGTGATTGCGAGGCCTGTAGGAAAGTACAAAAGCCTGAGCTAGATTACCCCTCTCATCGAGCCCGCCTGTGTGGCGCCTGTTTCCTGCTTCCTGATCACCCCACTAAGTTCCCGCCTCGCAGGGTAGTCTGCCTAGCTACTAATGTTGCTAGCCAATCAGCTTACGCGACCCGCCTTGATTTGATTGGAGGCCACAATCCTATATATAGCCAGTACCTCCACCCCTGGAGGGGAGAAGCACGGAAGGAGCCGCGGAGAGCAGACCGGTAGAGGCTTCGGGGAGAAGCACGGAAGGAGCCGCGGAGAGCGGACCGGTAGAGGCTTCGGAGCAAAGCACGGAAGGAGCCGCGGGGAGCGGACCAACAGAGGCTTCGGCCGGGACGAGTCCCAGGGTAGACTGTGAAGGAGGAGAGAAATAAAATAGAATACTTCGCCACCGCCAGATTTTGTCGTGTGTTCTTCCTGCCGGCCGGGAGCGACACCAACATGCAGTGAGACCTCAAAGAAAGAAAGGAAAGAAACTATCACAACAGAATCATCCGGAGAGTGGCATGGCTGAGGGGAAAACAAACAAAAAACATGTAGAATGAAAATAATCATTGAAAGAATGAAAAGTACAAGCCACAGATTCTGGTAGATACTACAATAATGAGTCTGCAAGTTTCATTGCTCACTTAAAATGTTCTGTTTTGTCTTGCTAGTGCTGCAAAAGATCGAGCCAATGGCCACCAATTCAGCAGCCAGGTACTGGGAGCTGCCTTTTGGTTTTTTGTGGGGGTTTTTTTTGGCATGCCTAAGTGTTTGGCACCTGCGTAACGTGGCTTTGAGTTACTGGCATAGCAGAAGTCTTTTCTTTCTAGGTAGACAGGCACCTACTTGAGGTGGCAGGGATCATCCTCAATTTCCTGGTGCCCTTTCAGTGTCTAACATTGACAAAGATCTGCTGGATAAATAATCATCTGAGTTTTCAGTTTTGGTGTTTTAGTCACAAAGACTCATGAATTCTCTCAGCTATAAGTAGTTATATTCTAATTAGAATGGGAAGATGACTCCTAGGATTTCTTCCCTTGCTGGAGTCTCGGTCCAAACTCAGTAGTGAATAAGGAATAAAACCTTGTCTCTGGTCAGCAAAGCATTTCTTTTCCCTTCTGAACAGAGGATGATGGCACGTGGAGACAGAAGGATGGTGGGAAAGTGCGGCTAACATTTTATATTGGCCTTTTTTTTTTTTTGAATCATTAATCAAACTTGAGACCTCGTGCTTGCCAGACAAGTACCATGCCGCTGAGCTCTATCCCCAGCCCTGTATTGGGCTTTGCTTTCTTTGTGGTTTTCATTCAGTTCTGGGGATGGAACCCAGGGCCATGTGCATGCTAAGCACATGCTCTGCTATTCAGCTACAGCTCTAGCCTGGGCTTTGCCATTAATACATTGTTTCCTCAGCTGTGCTCCCTATCCCTGCTGACTCTCTTGCCTATTCTACGTCTTAATCCTTTTTTTGTGAATAACCTGATTAAAATTAAACTTATGACCTTTAGAATAACAGCACAGTACTTTTCCATTCTTAGAAGGAAACAAAAAGAGCTGAAGTCGTATTATGACTTAAAGATTATCGCAGTACTTACAGATAATTTAATGCTTGTAATGTAAAAAGTGATGGATCTTCAATAGTTTTCAGAGGATTATGGTTGAGAATTCTGAAAAATGCAATGGGATAAAAATTATCTGTATTTTCAATATGCATGGAATTACATGAAAAGTTGTTCTCTCTTTTGGTATGAAGTGTATTCGTAGGTTAAAAAAAATCAATTTCTGTCATTACCTATGAATAAACCTTAGACTGCAGAAAGCACTCTTGCTTTGGGGATTCTGTAGGTCTCTAAAATGTACTGTGGAAAAGAGAAAGTGAATAGAAAAGAGAAGGAAAAAAGAGGCTAAAAACAAAAACTCTAAAAGTGACTGCACCAGGAAGCCTTCACAAGAAGCCAACAAACCTAACATTCATGTATAGAATACTTCCCAACAACATAAAAACAGAAGAAACACAGTCTTCTTAAGAGCACACTGAGAAAACCTGTAGTGCCACATGCATCTGTCCCAAGACCTTGGGACCTTTTACTATTAAATCAGGTACATTGAGATAGACCATAGGTCTAGTCTCAATCAGTTCTTTCGTTTCATTTGAAACAGGGTCTCTCTCTGTAACACAGATCAGCTCCAGACTTGCTATGTACCCCAGCATGTCCTTGAACTTGCAGTCCTCATTCCTGAATCTCCCATGCTGGGATTATAAGCATGTGTCATCAAACCTATCTTGAAGTCTCAATACACTTAAAAGGACTAATACACAAAATATGTTCTCTAAACAAGGTGGAATGAAATCACAGATCAAGGACAGGAAGAAGTCTGGTAAATTCCTAAATATGGAAACTAAGCTTATATATAAGTATCCTACTGGTCAAGAACAAATAACAGAGACGTGAAAAAACACTTCAGTGAAGTAATGAATATAAATGGTGACACCCAGCACCAACACTTTAGGAAAGCTATACACACAATTGCAAATATTAAAGATTCTCATCAGTAATATAAAGCTCTGAATAAACAAGGGGAAAACCCAAGAAACTTAAAAAAAGACATCAGAAAGAAAAAATAAAGAGTAAGATCAGAGAAAAGTGAAACAGAGAATTAGAAAACAGTAGAGAAAATCAACATAGCCAAAAATTAGTTTTTAACAAAGGTCCTGGGCAGATAGCTTAGCAGCCTAGCAGCCCCGTGCCTGCTTGGCAAGTGTGAGGCCCTAAATTGTATTCTGGATACCAAAACAAATCAATGGTAAAAGGTCAACTATGCTGGGCTGGGTATGTAGTCCCAGCACTTGGGAGGCTGAGGCAGAAAGACAGCTGTGAGTTCAAGGCCCGCATTAACTACACAGCAAAACCCTGTTTGGGGGGCAAACATCATTATCAAAGAAGGGGACATTGCTGGGTGTGAAGACACATGTCTACAATCCCAGCACTTGGGACCTTGGGGCAGGCGGATCACAGCAATTTCAAGGTCAGTCTGACTAATAAACTGTGACTCAAACAAGGGTAGGATTATTACTGACCTGGTATGGATTATTAATAACATGGAATGGATTATATGGGAAAACCAAAAAAATTATCTGCCAATAACTTAGATAACCCGGATAATAGATACAGTTCTAGAAACTGAAGGAAAAACAAAACCTGAACAGGCATATTTAAATGTAATGATTGAGTTATTGATCAAAACTTCTCACAACAGAAGAGCCTTTTGTTTTCTCTTTGGTGGGATGAAGAGAATCTCATGATCAGAGGCTTCACTGGTGAAATCTGCCAACTAATTAAAGAAGCAGTAACCCCAACCCTTCAAAACATTTTCTAAAATGTAAATGAAGAATAGTTCCTAATTCATTTGAGGAGTCAGTATCCCCCCCATACAAAAAAAAAGACACATGAAGAAATCAAGAAAATTATATATACATGTATATGAATATATATATGTGTGTGTGTATATTTTTCTTGTACCAGGGTTTGAGCTCACAATCTCACACTTGCCAGGCAAATGCTGTGCTGCTGAGCTATATCCTCAGCCCTGAATCAATATTTCTTATGAAAATAGATATAAAATTCCTCAATAAATACTTACAAACCACATTAAACCGAGAATACAGCTAACACTATGCATCAAGTCCAGGAATGCAAGTTTGGCTCAACAGAAAAATCAGTTTCAAACAGGGTCTTGCTGTGTAGTTAATGTGGGCCTTGAACTCACAGCTGTCTTTCTGCCTCAGCCTCCCAAGTGCTGGGATTACACACCCAGCCCAGCATAGTTGACCTTTTACCATTGATTTGTTTTGGTATCCAGAATACAATTTAGGGCCTCACACTTGAAAAATCGGCTCAACAGAAAAAACCTAAAACACAATATTAATAGAATAAAAGAAACATGTTCATCTACATTAATGCAGTGGGAGCAATTAAAAATTAACTCGTTTTCACTATAAAACCATCCACAAACTAGGAATAGAATCACCTCAGGGATGGAGACATAAGTACCTGTCTGGCTAGGGCCAGGATATAAGTTCAATCACCAGTACCAAGAAACAAGGAAACAAAAAAGAATCACCTCAGCCTAATACAGGGCACTAAAAGAAAAGGGGAAAATACCACCATGGTTATATTTATTAAAATCTATATGGAGGTTTGAACTAGGACAGCTGGGGAAAACAAAATAGGATCCATATTGGAAACACAAAGCTATGTATAATTCCATATGCATATAGAAGACTATAGAGAAACCAGGCATCTTGCTGCAGGCCTGTAATCCTAGCACTTCGGGTGGCCGGAGGATTCCCACCTGGACATTTAACCAATTGAGCAGATATTGTCTCAAAATAAAAATAAAGCAAGGGACAAGAGTGTAGCTCAGTCCCTGGTACAAGTGTGAAAGTATAAGCCAGTCATTCTGGCAGTACATGTCTGTAATCCCAGGACCCACGAGGCTGAGGCAGGAGGATCACTTGGAGGTCAGCCTGGCCTATATAGTAAGTTCAAGGCCAGTCTGAACTACAGTGAAATCTCTTAATCAAATAAATCAAAAGAGAAGAGAAAACCATAATGAATGCATACATGGAAGGAAACTAGGAATAGTAAGGTTAAAGGTTGTAGAACGCAAGATCCTTATGCAAAAATTGGCTGTCTTTTTCCATTGCAGTGTAACTCAGTGCAGCATACTTTACTAGCACATACAAGGCTCTGGGCTCCACCCCCAAGGCCAGAAAGAAAATTAAGAATGATACTAAGAAAATTATCCCATGTGTTGACAAGAATAAAACATTTAGGACTAAATGTAACCAAAGAGGTTCAAAATATACATTGAAAACTATAAACCACTGTTAAAAGAAATTAAAGATCTAAATGAATAGAAGACATCATTACTATTAAGAGGGCACAGCTGCCGACGATGTAGCCCAGTGGCACAGCACCTGTCTGGCAAGGACTAGGCCCTGAGTTTGACTCCTGGTACAAAAAAACAAAAAAAGATGTCACTATTCTTCAAGCTGAGCTATGATTTCAGCACAGTTCCTATCAAAATCCCAGCTACCTGGGCTGGGGCTGGGGCTCAGTGGTATAGCACTCACCTACCCAGCATGAGGCCCAGCACTGCAAAACAAAATGAAAGAAAACATAAAATTTCAGCTGGAGGGCTGGGGATTCAGCTCAGTGGCACAAATACCTGCCTTGCAGATAGATACATGGTCGTAAGTTTGATATCTAGTACCAAAAAAAAAAAAAAAAAAAAATTCCAGCTGTATTTTTTCTAAAACCCGGCAAGCTAGTTTCTAAAATTCACATAGCAAGTCAAGAGATTCAAGATCACCAAAATCATCTAGAAAAAGAACAGACTAGGAATCAGTTTCCACTTTCCAAACCCAGTGGAGATGTGCAGCAAACCGAGTGTGGTACTAGAGTAAGACTAGACTGTAAAACAATGGATTCGAGCTGACAGCCTAGGAATAAATCTTCACATTACCATTAAGTGACTATTGACAGGGGTGTGAAGACAATCCAGTGTCAAAAGAATAGTCTTGCAGAGTGTTGCTAGGAGAACTGGATATCCACATGCAGAAGAGTGATGTTGAGCCCCTCTACTGTATTAGAAAACTGACTCAAAGCATAGCAGATACCTAGTACAAGGTCTTAAACTATAAAACCCTT